GGGTCAGCGCGGGAGGGGGAGGGGAGGAGAGAAGGGAGCCCAGGGGTGTGCGCCCTCCCCCACCCCCAATCTCTGGACGTCCAGAGTGTGTTTCTGATGTGAACTGGTGTTCGGGACTCTGCGGGCGTGAGCGCATCTGCAAGCTGTGTGTGTGAGTCCGGGTCTAGCACGGGTGTTCTGGAGCCGCAGGGTGTGGACGGTGGTGGGTGTGTGTGTGTGTGTGTGTGCCCCCAGCACGTGTTAACTTCGTGTCTGTGGCCCTGCTGCACTTCTGCTGTGTGCGTCTGCGTTTTGTATTTCTGCTGGACAGGCTGGTGTATTTTCTGTGAGTTCTGTGTCCTGGCACAGTTTGACTCCATAAGCCCGGGTCACATATCTGGGATATAATCGTGTGTCTGAATTTTTTCTCAACATTTTCATAGATCTTCTGGGTGTAAATGTGTGCGTTCTTAGTGTAAGTTTGACTTAAAATGTGGGTGTTTCCTGCACGTTAATGGGCCTGTGAGAATGACATTTCTCCAGGAGGTGTATGTGTGTTTTGAGTTGGGGTCTCCGTTACCCAGGCTGGAGGGCAGTGGCACAATCATGTGTCGTGGCAGCCTCAATCTTCTGGACTCAGGCGATCCTCCCACCTCAGTCTCCCAAATAGGTGGGACTATACACACACACCACCACACCCTGCAAATTTTTTGATTTTTGTAAAGACAAAGTCTCACTACGTTGCTTAGGCTGGTCTTGAACTCCTTGGCTCAAGCAATCCTCCTGCCTCTGCCTCCCAAAATGCTGGGATTACAGGCATAAGCCACCATGCCCTGCCTGTGTTTCGTTTCTTATGCATGTGGGTGAATTGTTTCTGGGTTACACTTTGTGATCATTGGTGTGTCTTACAGATATTGTGTCTACATGATGTCTCCAATATGCTTGCTGCAGTTCTCACAGTGTTTGTATGTGCGTGTGACAGAAGGCTGTGCTTCTGGGCTGTATGGTATGCTCCTTGTGTGTCCATCTCAGGGACTGGTACTCTCAGCCTATGTGGGTGTCTGAGCAGGTGGCGTCCACATTGTGTTCCCACATGTGCCAGGTGGCTGTGTGTGTGAGCTGTGGGTCTCTATTTTACCTTTGAGGGCATTTCAAGTTCTCCGCCAAGGTGGGTGTGTGTTCCTGGGGTGGGTCTGCATTGGGTGCTGGTATTTTCACTCAGGGGAGAGGGGCATCATATGCTGCGAAGCCACTGGCATCCTGTGCAACCGGTGCCTGCTGGTCTCTGTGCCAAGTGGAGGCTGTGTCTGCGGTACGGCCCCTTGCCGGCTGGTGCCACGCTGGCTCGGGGCTGGCTGTGGCAGCGGGCAGGGCAGGGCAGGGGCTGTGGTGGGCACTGGACCTGCGCCCAGTCTTGGTATAAATATCCTGGGCTGCCGGCGGCTGTTTGCTGTGTTTACTCGGCCCCAGCCCGGGGGCGGCAGCAGCCCAGCAGGTCCTGGGGGCGGGGGTGACCAGGCCACAGCACAGACATTTCCTTCTGGCCAGACAGCCCTGCAGCCTCCCTGCCTCCTCCCACTCTCGTTCTGGGTGGGGGCGAGTCGGTGACCCCTTGTTCTGGGCTCCCAGGGGCCACCAGCGAAGCTCTGACTTGGATGGCCCCGCTGGGCTTCCTGGGGTCAGGGAGGCAGACAGCGATGGGGGTGGGGCCGAAGAGTCGAAAATGAGGAAGACAGTAGGAGGGGCAGCTCCAGGAGAGAGGGATGGGGAGATGGCACTAAGCTGAGACAGAGTGGCGAGCACGGTTGAGGACCTGGAATGGGAAGGGGGGGAGGCAGAAGCGCCAGGGAAACCAGCATGGAGGAGGGGCTCAGAGAGAGGGAGACACTGACAGCCAGAGGGAGGGAGAGGCAGAGGAGCAGGAAGGAAACGGGAGGCAGGGAAGGACCAGGGAGAAGGGAGTTGGAAGGAGCAGAGGAGAGGTGCAGGGAGGCCTTCAGCCTTGGCAGGAGGAACAGAGGTGTCAGACGCGGGGGGCGGGGTGGCGGCCAGCAGAGCCAGGCCAGGGCCCTCCTGGCCAGGGCTGGGACAGACAGGAGACATGGGGGTGGGGGCCGGATGCCCACCGAGGGGCTCTCCCCCAGCGGGGCCCTCCCTCCCTGACTCACCCTCTCCGCCCACCCCAGCCCCGGGAGAACTGGGGGGGGCAGGAGGCGCCGGCGTGGGGGCCCAGCTCCTCCAGGTCTCAACTGCTCCCAGGCTGTGACCAGGGGGTGTGTCTCTCACCATCCCGCCCTCTGTCTCCACCTCTCTTCCTGTCTCCCCTTCTAATCCCTGTCCCTGTGACCGGCTCCACCTCTGTCTCTCAGCCACAGACGCTCATGTCTTGACCATCTGACTAACCCCAATTCTGACTCAACTGCTGTGTCTCCCATCTATTTTTAAGACTACTTAACAAATGTATGTATGACAAAGTATATCACAAACAAATTTAATGACCAAATGATAGAATGGTAAGAAAAAAGTGCCTCACTCTGGGGAAGAGAAGTGACAGGCTGAGGGCACAAGCACAGGTACCTAACAGACAGCACCCCTCACCTCTCTTGCTCCGTATCTCCGAGCGGCATGACCCCAATGGCCCTGGAGTCTAGCTGCTGGATGAACTTGAGCCTCACTGTTTCCTGCTCTGGGTGATGGAATCATAGAACCTGCTGCAGAGGACTGCTGTGATGATGCGCTGATTCAAGCACAGGTGCATCGTGATTCAATCACTTGTGTGGGACAGTGCCTGGCACAGCGGCCTGAGCCTATCAGGCTCAGATATCAGCCTTAGCATCTAACTCTCCCATCTGACAACATCTGCATGTGCATTTATCCCTCCAACTCTGTTCAGCTCTGGTCTCTGACAGGCTGGATGGTAGAGTGATTTCTAGGGCCTTCGTGGTTCTAGACCCTGGGTTCCATCTCACTTCTGCCTCTGTGGCAGAGTGGCCTCACGTAAGCCACGTCTCCTTCTGGGCCTCCCTGACCCACCCGTGAAATGGAGCTAGGCATCTAGTTCACGGGGCTGTTTGGAGGATTCAGTGCAGTGCTGGGCACTTGCCTTGGGCCTGGCAGAGAACAGAACTGCTCAGTAGCTGAAGCTCTCATTATTTAATAGTTGGTCCATCAGAACATCCCTCTGCTCCTGTCCAACTCTCACTTTCCATGTCTGGCTCCAATTCTGACTGACCCAGAGGGCAGAGCTGAGGCCCAGAGGTTAGGAATCGTGACTCCAGGAGGCAGCTGAGGGTCCTTCAGGCTTGGCCAGGGCAAGATGCCACCATTCCACATCTTACAGGAACAAGGAGTCCCTGAGCCCCACCTTGCTGACCCTTGGCCTGTGCTCCCCTTCACCACAAGGTGGTCAGTCCCCTCTGTGTGTGTGTGTGTGTCTGTTGGGACAGCATGAGGTGGGAGTGAGGACATGGGAAGGCGGGACGCCTGGGTTCCCACAGGCCGGTTGGCTGAGTCACCAGGCGGCCATCTGGCTCCCATTAGCCCAGGGCGGCAGGGGGCTCTGTGGGGCGGGCCCTGTGGCTGGCTGGGGGCAGGAACGCTGGGGTAGGCTGTGTGTGTGTGTGTGTGTGTGTGTGTGTGTGTGTGAGATGACTCAGGACCCATGATAACAGCCTGTGCGTATTTGGGGAGTATAAACAGGAGAGGGAGGTGGAGGAAGTGAAGAAAGGGAAAATTGTGGCTGGGCAGAGCAGGGTGGTGGGGCTGGGAGAGTCCCCCCGCCCCGCGGTTCCTCCCTCCACACCCAAGCTGCCAGGTCCCATGATCCCCAGTTCTGCCTCAGCCCGCCCCTCCCCAGCCAGGATCCTGGTAGAGGTGAGAGCTGGTGGCTACCCCAGGGGTCTCCCCTCTACCCATGAGGCCGCATTACTCAGCAGAGTTCTGCTGCCCCAGCAGCCAGGCTTGGGGGAGGGGGAAGAAGGAGTACAGGGCCTGGAGCAAGGGGGCTGAAACCCAGATAAAGGCTGAGGCAGAGGGACAATAACAGCATAGAGGCTTAGGGAGAAATGGAAACATACAGGTAGAGAAAGCAGCAGGCCCAAAGAGTGGGGCTGGACAGACAGGACATGCGGAGCACAAGAGAGCGACCCAGACATAACAGGGAGAAAGACAGAGATAGAGAGCAAGGGCTCAGGGCTGGCCCTGCCTGAGTTGGTGCTGGGATCTACCCGGCCAGCTCCAGCAATGAGGGGCCCTGCTGACTGCCCTGATGGCCCTAGAGAAAAAGCCACTGAGCCGGCCTGTAATCTGCTGCCCTGCTGGGGTGGGGGAACAGGGCAGGCGGTTGCCAGGAGGAGTGGCAGCCATCAGTCCCCATCCAGCTCTGGGCTGGGCACATCCTCAGGCTCCTCCTCATCGAAGTACCTCTCCTCCTCATCCCGCGTCACGATGTCCAGGTTGTCGAAGTCGGGGTTGTCGTCCACCATGCTGCAGGGGGAGGAGGCTGTCAGGGGCCAGGAGGCCTTCTTGGGGCCCTGGGAAGCCCAGATCAGGGGCCTGGGGTCCTCTGAGGTCAAAGGCCATAGCTGGCAGCTATAATTCAGGGCTGACCCTCAGAAGGGGATGGTGGGCCACTTGGAGCTTAAAACTAAATGACACCTTTTCCAAGTCAGAGATTATACACACAAACTTTGGTTTCTCTTAAAAAGCTGGAAAATGTGGTGACACATAGGCTCACATTCCTGGGGCCGACAGTGGTTCTCAACAGGGCAATTCTGCCCCCAAGGCACTTTGACCTTTTGACTGTCCAACTGGGGGCCTGCCACCGAGTCCAGTGCAGTGGGGGCTGGGGTGCTCCTGAAGAGCCTCCATACTCAGGACGGCTGCCTCAGCCAGGAACTGCCTGTGGTTGAGAAGCCTCCCCAAAGGCAGTAAGTTATCCAGATGGCACTCCCTCGGTCACCAGGCCCTGCTTGATCTGGCCGGCCACTCCTTATCCCTCACCCCTCGTCAGCTCCAGCCACCCGAGCCTCCCTGCCATGAGCGCTCAGGGCTCTTGCACCTGCTGTCACTCTTCCCCCAGATGTCTGTCTCTTCCCCTCACTTCCTGCAGGTCTTTGTTCATATGTCATCTCCTCAGAGAGGTCTTCCCTAACCACTTTGTCACTCCCTCTCCCCCATACCCTGCTTTAATTTTTCTTCCTGGCCCCATCAACACAAGATGCTAGAAGGTTCTTTATCTTTCTCACTAGAGGGAGCTCCTTTCTGGGCAGGGGACACTCAGCATGTGCTGACTGGATGCACAGATGAGGGACACACTGCCCAACAGCTGCCATCTTGCAGGGACATGGTTTGGTCCCCACTACCCTGATGTCCTTGTGGGCCCCCCATGGCCGAAGTGCTCTGCTCCCTGCATTATATGTGGAAACTGAGGCTCTGAACAGCCCTGCCTTGCTGGAAGTGGAACAGCCAGATTTTATTCAAGAGCTGCGGAATCACAGCAGGGGCCGGTAGTGCTCAGTCACCAGGCGCTGAGCATGGGCTGGGGCCCCAGGTCGTGGCAGTCGTGATTCCATTTTACTGATGAGCCCATCGAGGTTCACCTTATTTGCAGTCACACAATTCATGTATCATTGGGCTGAATGTGAAACCAAGGAGGGCCCTCTGCTGCCAGGCCCAGTGTTGGGGGCCACACATCAAGACACCTCAGATAACAAAACCATTAATCCCCGACTCTGATATGTCACTCTCCTGGTCCTCTTCCTGATGGCAAAATCCTTCTTCAAAGCAGGTGGCCCATGTGTCTCAGTTCTAGTACACTGGAGAAATGAACAACTGGCACCACAGGCCCCTCCACGCTGGGCATAAAAGACCCTGCCAAGACGAGGAGGTCTGGGGTCCTGAAGAAGAGCTGGACTTCCTGGGGGTTGGGGGTCCTGGGACAGCAACATCCTACCAGGATTCTGCCACTTGCCAGACTGGAAATGTGTCAGTGTCTCATCAATATTGAGCTACGTGGCTGGGCTTGGTGGCTCAGCTTGTAATCTCGTGCCTTTGGGAGGCTGAGGTGAGTGGATTGCCTGAGCCTGTGGGTTCGAGACCCACCTGGGCAACGAGACCTCATCTCTACAATAAAAATCAGAAAATCAGCCGGGCGTGGTAGCGCATGCCTGTAATTCCGGCTACTCGGAAGGCTGAGGCGGAAGGATCGCCGGAGCTCAGCAGGTCGAGGCTGCGGTGGCCGGGAGCGGCCACTGCACTCCAGTCTGGGCGACAGAGTGAGACTCCAACTCAAAAAAAAAATATATTGAGCTACGTGTTATCCCTGCTCACTCCCTCACAGTGAGGAGATCGAGGCTGAGATGGACAAGGCTAGTCCAAGTTCACCCAGCTTTCTCCTCTTGCTGTCTGACCCCAGGGACCATGTCTTAGAACTGTTCCAGGGCCTTCAAGGCCCATGCGGGAAAGCCCTCCGCAGATGTGCATGGGACCGGCATGCATCAAGGTCCCATGCTGGGTGGGGGTCAGGGGGGAGGGGCACAGAAGCACCTGTAGTCAAAGTCCCCGTCCTTGCCATCCAAGAAGCGTTGGTGCATGCGGCTGGTGAACTCCTCTCGCAGGATCAGCCTCTCCTCCGAGTCGGGGACCCAGGCCTCTGAGTCTTTGCCTGACCTCTGGTCTGTAGAGGGAGACACCCACCAAAGTGTGAATGAGGGTATACCGGGGAGGGCACCGAACACAAGAGTTCAGAGAGCTGCTACTTTGGTGCCCAGCCTATTGCCTGGCACTTGAAACAGCAGTGACTGAGGCAGCTCTGGTTCCTGCCCTCTGGGGGCACACATCAAACACATAATGACAATACAGGGCTCCAAAGACAGTATCCCAGAGTCAGCACCTGAGACCTCAGGGGTCAGGAGAAAGGCATTCCTAGTCGGGCTTGGTGGCTCAACCTGTAATCCCGCGCTTTGGGAGGCTGAGGTGAGTGGATTGCCTGAGCCCGCGTGTTCGAGACCCACCTGGGCAACTTGGCGAGACCTCATCTCTACAAGAAATCAAAAAATTAGCCAGGCGTGGTAGCGTGCGCCTGTAGTTCCAGCTACTTGGAAGACTGAGGCGGAAGGATCGCCGGAGCCCAGCAGGTCGAGGCTGCGGTGGCCGGGAGCGGCCACTGCACTCCAGTCTGGGCGACAGAGTGAGACTCCAACTCAACAACAACAAAAAAAAGGCATTCCTGGCAGAAGGAACAGCATGAGCAAAGGCCTGGCAGTGAGGGAATCACTTGGCACCTCTGAGGAGTGGGGACAGGGAGGCTAGGATGGCACACAGGGTGGAGGGTCAGGCCAAGCAGGGGAGGGACACGATGTCTGTTTCTGCAGGTCGGGGTCCGAGCCAGTGCCATAAAATGGAAACAGGCCCAAGGCTGGGATGTCTGGACACTGGGGTCTCCCTGCTATGGGCCCTCACCTTCTTCATCACTGTCCTCCTCTTCTTCCTCCTCCTCCAAGCAGGCCTCCTCCTCTTCCTGCTGCTGGAGCAGCCTCTGCTGTAGCTCCCGCTCCTGGTAGGACTGGAGCAGCAGGTCGGAGAGCGGGCAGGCAGGTGTGCCCAGGTGGGCTGGGGTGCGGGCGCTGAGCTCCTCCTGAGTTAGGTACTGTCCAATATACTGCTCGTACAGCAGTGGGGCCCGGAACCGCATCTGCTCATCACTGAAATACTCGCCTCCTGCACAGAGGAGAGACAGGTGGGCATGGGTGAGTGTGTCTGAGATGTGTGTCTATGTATGTATATGACCGTGCTTGTAGAAAGACATGTACACACACGATGGAAAACGTGTGAGTCCAAACGTGTGCATGCACATTCAGATACAGACACCTGCAGTTGTGTGCATGTGTGCTCATGCAGGTGTCTGAGCGTATGTGTGTGGCCAGGCCTGTACCTATCCGTGTATTCATGCATCTAAGCTTGGATGTATTCATGCATCCAAGCATGGGTTTGCATGGGCAGGTCCAGGTAATCCTGGTCTTTGAGGCACTGGTGGTCTGTGGCCCAGGTACAACTGTGCCTGGGCAGGATTCGCAAGCTCCAGCCCGTGGGTGTGTACACTGTCACATGTCCACACACATCTCCCCATGAGCCTTGGCACACTGCCCACCTGTATGTCTGGCCGTCAGCACACAGGACAGTGCAGGCAGGCTGTGTGCCTGTAGGTTGCATGTGCCCCAGTCTCGTTGGACATGCCTGGACACATGCACTATTTGGCATGTATGTGTATATATCCATGTGGATCAGGCATGTGTGTGCAAAAAGATCAGGTCAGATGGGGCTTTAGTGGTAGAAGGTCCCAGATTTGACCTCCCTAGAGGGCTCCCGTCTGCAGTCACCTCCTCAGGAGGGCCAAGCTCCCCTATCTCTCTGCCCCAGCTAGTTGTTCATGCAGAAGTAGCTCTGTCCCTCAGATAACATTAAAGCCTGCCCCGGCCCCTTCCTTCCACTGGTCCTAGCCCTGGCTTCAGAAGCTATTTCTGGCCTCTGCAGCATTGTGAGCTGTGACCGTCCCTGTCCTGTCCAGCTTCCCCACTCCTGCCAGCTCTCTTACCCCTGCTTCTTTGTTTCTGGTGTCCTCTGCCAGATTCATTTCCTTCCTTCCTCCCTCCCTCCCTCCCTCTCTTTTTTTTCCTTCCTTCCTTCCTTCCTTCCTTCCTTCCTTCCTCCCTCCCTCCCTCTCTCCCTCCCTCTCTCCTTCCCTTCCCCTCCCTTCCCCTTCCCTTTCTTTCTTTCCTTCCTTTCTTTTTTTTTTCCTAAGTTGGGGTCTCACTCTGTGGCCCAGGCTGGAGTGTAGCAGCTCGATCACAACTACCGCAGCCTCAGCCTCCCGAGTAGCTGGGACTACAAGCGCACATCACCATGCCTGGCTAATTTTTTAGCTTTTTGTAGAGATGAAGTCTCACTATGTTGTCTAGACTGGTCTGAAACTCCTAGGCTCAAGCAATCTTCCCACCTCAGCTTCCCAAAGGAATTATAGGCATGAGCCACTGCACCTGGCCCCAGATTCTGTGTCTATCCCTCCTTCTCCCTGGATAGGACCACCACCCTCTCTCTCCCTGGATCTCTCAATTTCTCTCCCTTTCCTCCTTCATCCCCATCTCTCTGTCTTTCCTGCTTTCTCATTTTCTGTCACCTAACTCCACCTCATTCATTCATTCGTGCCACTCCTTTCTTCACCCTGTTCCCCCGTCCCTGTGTCTCACTCTTTATCAATCTCTCTGTAGCTGCACCTTCTCCCTAACTAAAACTTAACTCACTCTCTGTTTCATTCTTTCTCGTCTTTTAACTTTGGTTCTGGTGTCTTTGGCCACAAAGATGCTTTAATTATGTCGTGGTCAAAAAGGTATCAATGCTTTCCTTCATGGTTTTCCCATGTGTCTGGCTCAAGAAGGCTTGGCTTCTGTGTCCCCAAGGTCATAAACATCTTCCCCATGATCTATCTCTTCCTATACCTCTGAATATAGAGGTATCTGAATACAGGGGCTCTGAATACAGCACCGTATCCTGTGAAGTCGGGATCTTGTGTTTCTTAGGGATAACCAACTATCATAGTGCTGTGTACTATGTCCTCGGGCCACTGATCTGAAATGCTACTACTGTCATTTGCTGGATTCTGATCCCACATGTCTGTCCCACTCTCTCTGGGCCTCTGCCTGTCTCTACCTGTCTCTCCCTCTTACTTCACATTTTTGTCTGAGTCTCTCCCTGTGTCGCTGCCTCTTTGTCTCAAAACTTATCTCCAGGATATTTGTCTCTGTGTTTCTGCTCTTGCATCCTTGCTCTCATTCCCTCTACCTCAGTCTCCCTTCCCTCCCTCCCATCGCCCACCTGGGCCGCCATTACCCGCCTGTCCCCCACACCTTGAATCAGCTCTCGCAGGGCAGCGTAGCGCCGGTTACGCAGGCGGGTGCGCAGTGTGCGCGGCCGGGCAGTGCCCTGCCGGGCCACCTCAGCACAGTAGAAGTCTGCACGGTGGTCGCCACGCAGGTGGCCAAAGCAGGCCAGGTGCTCCTCTCGGAGGCCCGTGCGGAAGCGCTCCAGGAACACCAGTGGCTTCTCATGGTACAGCTGGCTCAGGATGGCTACCTTCTCCTGTTCTGTCAGGTCAGGTTCGCCTTGTTGCTGGCTGCACACAGACAGGCGGCTGGCAGCCACAGCATGCAGCATGGCACTCACTGCTGCATTCTCATCAGCCTGGGGGGTTTCACAGTCCACAGCCCCTGGTGCTTCTTCAGCTGCTTCCACCTTGTCCTGGGGTCTGGGTGGGATTGGTGTTGAGCTCAGCTCCCCCCAGTGCACAGGTCTGAGCTCTGGGCAGCCTGTGAGGAGAGGGGAGATCTGTTAGTTCAGTGATGGGAGTGGGGGAATTGGGACGAGAAGGGATTGGGCAGGAAAGGACTAGGGGCTCATTCATGAGCTCAGTTCACATTTATTGAGTATCTACTATATTCTGGGCACTGTTTTAGGCCCTAGATATACCACAGTGAGCAAAAAGTCCACATTTTAGTAGGGGACACAGACAATTAGCCACAAAAATATTGAAAACATAATGTGTTAGGTGTTTCCCAGGGCTATGAAGAAAAATAAAGAGGAAAGGAAAGAGAAGGGAATGGAGGAGTTTGCAATTTATTAATTTTTTTTTTTTTGAGTTGGAGTCTCACTCTGTTGCCCAGACTGGAGTGCAGTGAC